TAAACACAAAAGGCTGACATGGCAGAAAAAGTGTTTACACTTTCCATTCGCGTATGATGCAATGTGAAATCATATTTTATTTTAATTTTCAATAAAAATAATTTTTTTATTAAAAAAAAAAGCCTCCCACTCCTCTCTCAGTCGTCTTCTTCACCTGCATCTTGTGGCAATTTTTTTTTTGTAATTTTAAAATCAACTGATTGGATCTACAAAAAGAAAGAAGATGGAAGATTTTTGGACATTCAACCAAAAACTTTAGCCGACGTCAACTCCATTTCCGAGCATCTCTAAACAAACATCACCACTCAAATTAAAATGTAAACCCATTTAACGTATAAAAAATAATATTCAAAAAATTGATAGAATTAATTTGGGTCTTCTTGATTTCTTTTTTACGGTCGATTTTGAAATGATTATCTGTTAACAAACTCCGCTTCTTCATCACTCTAGTACAAGTCTCTCTCTATATCTTTCTCTCACGTATTATGTATGAAATTTATTTATTTTTGAAAAAACTAAATTTGTAATTAAGTTGCTAAGATGTTGAGTTTTGTGATTTGGGAAAAGAAATGGTACAGGAAAGAAGATGAAGAAGAAAGGGGTGGGGTAGTGTAATGACCCTCATGGTCATTTCTGTGTCTTGACTTCTGTGTGTTGTTTAGATCCTTCCTATAACGACCCCAAGTCATTTATGACTTGCTGGGACTGATAGTTCGGTCACCTGGTCGTTCGTTTGGTCTTGGTGCGAGTTTTTGTGTTTTGGAGCTTATGAACCTTGAACGATCATTTTCGATCAAAAGTTCAAGAAGATGACATCGGAATCCAATTCTGACGATTCCATCAACTCCGTAAGGGTCATTTTAGGCTAGTAGCATGGTCGTCATGACTCCCGAGGTTTTCAGTGTGAGTCGGTGCGATTAGGCGTTTTAACTTTAAGTTTAAGCCTAAGTTTGACTTTGGTCAACATTCTGAGTAAACGCGCTCGGATGAGAATTCCGTCAGCGTGGTTAGCTCCGGAATGTCGAGTTTGGTCTAGATTGACCCTTCTTTTGTGTCTGGAGGTTTTCGATATCTTTCCGAGCCCTTTTGTGGTTTTGACTTAAAATGATTTTTGGAAGTGGGACCCACTTTTTATTGAGATGACCTTTGATGGAAATTTAGACTGTGCCATTGAGTCCAGAATGTCGAATTTGGTATTGTTGCATATCTCGTTTGCGTGCACGGGGTTCCGAACGAGTTCGGAGCACCCCGTCGGAGTTTTTAGTTTTTGAAAAAGTTGCAGAAAATCTGCTATTTATTGCAGATATATCAGCCAATTTTCCAAAACTTCAAACCCTCATAACTCTCTCATCTCTCAACCGATTTGGGTGATTCAAAAGGCAAATTTGTGAGATTTTTCGAGGACAACGTGTTGGTGAGCTTGGATAGTGATTTGGAGTCCCCGTTTGAGGTAATTTTCGAAAAATACCTGCTACCGCACCCTTTTTGTGAGCTTAATTTTGGAAATTTTTGAGACTTGTTTTCTCAGCCATTTAGGTCTGATTTCAGTGATTTTTGAGGCTATCCTGAGTGGTTTTTCGAGGAGAACGTCGTGGTGTTGTCGCATTTCACTGTAGACCTTCAGTTTCTGGTAAATAATACACTGATTCAACTGCTGTCCCATTTCTAATTTTTGAGAAAATTTGGGTTTTAGTTGCATGTTGATATTGTGTTGTTCCCGAGCCCCGAATTGTGTCCCATTTTGGGACATGAGCTGGGGGAACTGGTTAGGACCCACTTTTGGGGTTAATTTCGGAATTTCCTGCACGGGTCCCACAATTCCCATTTTGACTCCAAAATTGACCCGTCTCCGTTTGTTGTGATTTTGGTGTCTAAACGATCGTATTAATGTTGTGAATCTACTTTTGATAGCGGGGCAGCATTTTGAGACCGTTCGGAAAGGGAAAGCTCCTAAGGAGTGATTTTGGAGCGCGTGTGATCGGCTTACAGGTAGGCTACGGTTTCCCTCTCTTAGATTGAGCTTGAGAGTGTGAATGCATGTTGATTAGTTGGGATTTGGGTTGGTAGTGATTGAATCATGCATAGGTGTTTGGAAATCATGTTTTCGGCCTATTTCGAGAATTATCAGATAAATGTGAGCATGCTTTGTGTTATTAACGGACCCTCCTTGCTATGTGGAGTGCTTGCATGCTTAATTATTGTTTACTTGAAGCATGTTGGGCCTTAGTTTAGGTTTGACTAGAGCTTGCCTTAGAAATACATTATTCGGATCCAATAGACCTTAGTTTTGTTCTGACGTCGCTCGGCCGGCTTAGATCCCTGTAGACTGGTGTAGCAGACTCGAGTCTGATAGTTTGGGCCTTAGTTAGGCGATACTCTTTCTCTGACTATAGTTATCCTTATTTTCCCCGATGTTACGGCTTCACGAGTTACATCGGCGACACTAGTTCTACTTCGCGATTTGAATTTGATTTTCGATTTGGTTCCAAGGACTTACATTGATTGGCTAGGTGTGGACGGATCCACGGACATTTATGAGAATAGATCGATTGTGACTCTTTCAGCAGCTACAGTGGCACCTTTATAGAGCATCCGGTTAGAGTTCCGGCCTCTATTGCCCAGATACTTATATGGAGCATCCGGTTAGAGTTCCGGCCTCTATTGCCCAGATACTTATATAGAGCATCCGGTTAGAGTTCCGGCCTCTATTGCCCAGATACTTAAATAGAACATCCGGTTAGAGTTCCGACCTCTATTGCTCAAATACTTATATAGAGCATCCGGTTAGAGTTCCAGTCTCATATACTTGATACTTGTGATTGGTTACTTGGGTACTTCTGCTGAGCATCCAGTTCGAGGTCCGGCCTCCGTACTGTCAGATTCTACTAATTAGGGTTGAGATTTTGGTTCGATGTTCTCTGTTCTTGGGTTCTTATATGCAATTCTCTTTAGTTTTAGTTATTCTGTGTACTCGTCGGGCTTATGGGGGTCTAGTTAGGTGTAGTTAGCTTATAGATTACTTTAGTTAGTTCTTTGTACACTCGTGTGCATTCCTTTGTTAGTTAGATTTTTGTTCTTGACCTCGATTTGTGTATTTCTTCTTTTCATATTGCCTTTACTTTTCAAGTTCAGTCGGCCTATGATGCTTACTGGGTACCTGTTGTTTTGGTACTCATGCTACGCTTTGCATCTGTTTCGTGATGCAGGTCCGGGCACTAGTAGCCAGCGTTGATCGAGCTTGGAGCATACTGATCCGGAGACGGGAGTGAGCACACGACGTTTTGTACTATTTCAGTCTCCATCTGTATATATAGACTTGTCTTTTACCTTTCGAGACAGTCCAGTCTCTGTTGTCCACTTTTGGGACTTGTACTCATTTTGTTAGTAGCTCTGTACTAGTGACTTCTAGGTTCAGGGAGAGATCTTTATTTGTATTTATGTTTTGGTTTGCTTCCGCCTGTGTATATTGTTATTTGCCTACTCTTGTTTAGTTTCTACCCTCAGACCCATTACTTGTTGTTCCGGGTTACGGGTTGGCTTACCTACTGGTGGGTTATAATAGGTGCCATCATGACTTGAGAAATCAGGTCGTGACAGGTAGGGGGCTGGGTAGAAAATGCATTTGAAATAAATTTTATTTTTTAATTTAGAAATTATTCTTCTATAATTTTTGGGACCCACTTGCCACATGTCATTTTTTCATCAATCATTTTGCCATGTCATCGAGAGTGTGTCTCACACACCTTACATTTTTTAATTGATTATCGAAAAATGTCTAATATGAACAAATTTTATATAGATAAAAGTGTTCAATAGATAATAGTCTTAATTGAGGTGCTTAAATGAAATATGCGTCGATGACCTAAGCCTTTTTTTTTCTTCATAAAATGGGTTTAATTCTTGTGTTTTTATGTGAAGTTATAAACAATGAAACCAATTTTGAACATATTGGAATTCCACATTTTTCTTATTTTTATGTTTACTTTTTAGATTAGTTTAAAAGACACATAATACATAAAAATGTCCTCTAACTTGACCCAACTGACATCTATACCCTCTAACTTTGGGTGTGCACAAGTATGCACTTAAATTTGTATATAATTAAACAATTAGACACACACACATCCTACATGGCATCCCGCATGATAATTTGTGTCCTATATGGCATCCTACGTGTATTATGCCACGTAACGAACGTAGGATCTAAAATGTCAATTCTATATCTATTAATATAATGAACCAAATGTCCGGCAAAAAATAATTTCTGTTTTATATTATCTGCATTATTAATCTGTGTAGTACATGAGTCCCTCTATAACTTGTTTTTAAATCAAACAATCCCATAAAATTTATATCTTGAATTTGCCATGAATTGACAAAAAGATAAAACAACAACACAACAATAATAATATATCTAGTGTGGTCCTACAAAGTGGGGTCTAGGAGAATAATATGTACACAAATTTTATCTCACCTTAGACGCAGAAGCTATTTTCAATAGACACTCGGGTCAATGGAAATGATGAAACAAAAAAGACAAAGCTTTGGTGAAATTTGAATTCTATATATATCCAATTGATGAAAGTTATATCACTACACCAAAAATGATCTTTAGCGATAATTAATTAATGACTAACTTAATTGCCGCTAAATATGTTTTTTAGCGGCAATTAACACTATTTGTAAATGTCCCTAAAGCCTATAACGAGAAAAGGAACTTTGTGACTACCAATATCTGAAACTAATTTCATGACACAATGATACTAATCATTTTTTCTATTGCCAAATAACAGTAGTGTCCAGCCAGTTTACGCGCACATTTCGACTATTCCATTGGACGCCTATTATATCACACTAATACATATATCGAATAACTCTTCCGTAAGCAGATGCAAAGAAATCACAAAGCAAATCACAAGTCATTGACTAAGAGTAGAAAGGATTAACCAAAACTTTGATGAGGTAATGCAACTACCTTTAACTTGAGTGTTGCACATGAAGAAAACAAAAAAATACAATTTGGGGCCAAAGTTTCTATATAGCATATATTTTCTTGTATTCATTGTTTAGAGCATCTGAATCTGAGAGGACTGATGCTGACCACGACCGCGACCTGTTGGCCATAGAGTTCTTTCGGAGGCTTCTCTTGTTTGATGAGCTTATCCTGTTCATAACGATCCAGTAACACAACGTTCCCAACGTCGTAGCCATTATGATTGCCCCTATAAAGGAAATTAATACAGGCATCCACAAATTGGCATCGCCAACAACAATATACGATAGGGACAAGTAAGCAATTGAAATGAACAAGCATGCCACCCACATTAGCTTGTTTATAATTGACATCATTTTCTTCTTGGCTCTGCTTTCTATTACCACGATCGTTGTTTGGACAACCACCACAGCAAGAGCTATAAATAAGGATAGTGAGTCGAAGATGAAGAAAACTACAAATGCTGGATTCGGACCAATATTTGCTTCTCCAAGGCTATGATCAGCTGGGATATCGTCTGGATCATCAACCCATTGGCCATTGATTTGAAAGATTCCTCCAAAGGCAACCGTGGCAATCAGCACAGCAACAACCGTGGTAGAATTAATTGCGTTGTTAAGACCTTGCGCGTGCATTTTGTACACACGTTTGGCAATGTCTTGTATACGTCTTCTTGTTAGGGCCGTAGTCTCCAATTGATAGTGCACCCCGTGCTTTATGTCACTTACAGTTTTCTTCAACTCTCTTGCTGGATTTGTTGTCTGTGGCTTGATGGATCTAGCACTTTGAACCCCGTGTTCCTGCAAGACAGTTACTAATTCAGACTGTCCCAGTTTCTCTGCAGTGTCAAGGGCTGACTCGTTAGACCTATTGACGACTCTAGTGTCAGTTTCATTTTGCGCAAGCAGCAACTTCACAATCTGCATTTGTCAAAACAAGTATGAATGAGTTGTGAGCTTTTTCAACTATGCGTTGAGAAAGGGATATGTATAACGAGAAGTGCTTTTTATACAATATGGAAAAAACAGGGATTCACATTGCTGACTCCAACTTGCTTTGAGGATTGGGACGTAATTGTTGTGTTATTAGGAATCGAACATACCTGATCTCTGCCTTTCCGAGCAGCAATATGCAAGGCGGTATTTCCCTTATTGTCAACCATATTTATCAATGAAGGATCAGCTCTAGTCAGCTCCTCCACAACTTCAAGATTTTGTCCTTTGACAGCCATATGAAGTGCAGTTTGCCCCTTTTTATCCATCCGAGTTGCAATTCCTGGTTCTTTATTCAAAAGTGCCTTGAGAACCTGTAAATGTCCATTTCTTGCTGCAGAGTGCAACGCTGTTTTACCGTTACTTTTAGCTATGGTGGCCAAACTACTCTCTGCCTCAAGTAGATAATTCACCACCTCTATATGCCCTTGGTTTGCAGCTGTATGCAAAGCTGTAGTATTTGAAATATCAACTGTCATTGAGAGCTCTGGATGTGCTTCCATTAGTACCTTTACCATATCTGCAACAATACGATACAATAAAATTCAGATTCATACTAAAATCCCCCAAATTATACATCAGAACATACTAAACTAGATGGGAGCAGTTCATACTTACATCATCTTCGTGGACAACAAAAACAATAACAACTATGCCTCCCGAAATAGTTGGAGCCAACAACAACTCTCAGACCTTTCTATAACAGTCATTTTATATAACAATTACATGTTCACTGTAACAACCATGGTTTCTGCATGAGCCGATATTTCATGTTATGATATACTATATATCCTCTATAACAACAATTTTTTTCTACGTGAACAAGATCTTTCATGTTATATTATATTATATTATATTATATGTTCTCTGTAACAACATTTCACTATAACCATGTTTTCTACGTGAACCCAATATTTCTTGTTATGCTATATTACATATTCTCTATAACAACCTTGTTTTCTGCGTGAACCGATATTTCTTGTTATGCTATATTGCATATTCTCTATAACAACCATGTTTTCTGCGTGGATAGATATTTAATGTTATGTTATTTATATGTTCGCTATAGCAACATTTCAGTATAGCAGACAAAAAATATTAGGAACAAACAACATCATTACAAAGAGGTTTGATTGTATTACTAACATGAACTTACCTAAATCTCCTTGTTTGGCAGCAATGTGCAAGGCATCGTAACCATTCCTCGCTTTGATTCCGGCAGCTACGAGATCATAGTAATGGATCATATCCCTAACCAACTGATAATAACCATATTCTGCTGCAACATACAATGCAGTCTCTCCAGCTGAATTTTGCTTAATCATCATCTCTGCCAAATCTTCCTCCCCTGTCTCATCAAGAATCTCTCTTATCGCGACGAGATTTCCAGATCTAGCTGCTGCATGCAAGGAACTGTCATCCCTTTTCCCTGTTAATTGTTTTGTCATCTTTTTCCGTGGCGCCACTGGCCTAGCTGCCGGTGGATCCATCATATACAATTTTCCAAACAACAATAATTACGCCTTAGTTGGGGTCAGCTATATGAATCCTCAAAGATTCGTGAACTATGTACACCTTAATCCCAAACTAGTTTGGGTCGTCTATATGAATCATCAATATCCATTATGCTCCCTATCCTAATTTTTATGCAAAATGATCAAAAGACGAATTCAGAATTTGAAATTTAGAGGTTCCTGTAAGATAAAAAATGAATATAAAATTCAATAACGTGGTTCATAATAAAATATTTATAGATATTTAATTAAATTTTAACATATATATAGGATATGAGAAAAAATTACTTGATTCACGTGAACCTGAGATCTAATAAACTTCCCCCTTGTTGTTCTTTTTTTCTTAAATGAAAAGGGACATTAAAGGCACATGTATATTGAAGAATCCACAAAGCCAGAGAGCTTTAAAAAAAAAAAAAAAACCATAAAAATGGCTCTTTTTGTAAAGTTGAGGATGAGGGTAATGTTTTGAAATATTGAGAACCAAAAAATAAAAATATTTTGTGGGTGATATTTTTCTTTACTTTTCTTTTTCATTTGGGCAATAATTTGTGAGACAATAGAAGAAAACGCTAATACATGTGGTGAGGGGGTAAAATGAACTAACTATATTACCAGAACCACGCGCAAGAGTGTTCAAGATTCATATTGTTGTCTAATTAATTTGGATTTGCTCATCAACAACAAAGCTTATTTATGGGGCGACACTGTCGACATGATTTTTTTCTATTCTCAAGAATATAAACTCGACCTTTAATTAAGAGTGAAAGAATTTCAATCATCCCACCACAACTTTTGTAATTCGCATGTAGAGTGTTTCTAAGTAAAATTGTTTTTTTTTTCTAGTAAATTTTTTTTTGCACTAAGTAGGTGTTTGGACATGCGATTTCATATCGTGATATGAAATCATGAGATAAAATCAGTGTTGGACATGCGATTTCACGCTGATTTCATCTTCAGATGAAATTTCAAATTCTCCAAAAATCATGACTTGAAAATTTTCTTTGATTTTTGGATGACCCTTGATTTTCGGACCTCTGAAGTTTTCCTACGGACAACCAGGACGGTCCGTAGAAGGTCCCACGTTCCGTAGGAAGTGGCCGTAGAAGAGGTCCTAGACTTGGAATGAAATTTTGACTTGGGGTTTACAGAAGGTTGTACAGGTCGTGGAAAAATTGATAGGTCGTAGACCTACTTCGTGGAACTTGACTTCAAACTTGGAAGGATTTTGGTTCATATAGGTTCTACGGCTGGACCTACGGTCACAACAAGCTCATCATTATATATGCTAAATAAGTTCGAAATAATCTGCATTTGCTATAATAATTGTCACAATTTTTATCCTTTGATGAGCACTTTATGTGCACTGAATAAACTCTTTAGTCTCTCGACTTAAAAGACATTAGTAAAAGATGGATTCTGAATTACCAAACCAATTGAAACATTCCGAAGACCTTCGTGAACTCTTGATTTGACTGAATACGGACAATGACGAAACCATTCTTATCCAAGGTGCTTCACTAGAAAATTATTTATGCAGATAGGTAAAAAAAAATTTTGTAGATATGTTGAATTCCATTTTTTTTTGTTATTTTCTATTTTATTTGTTGACGCCTTTTTATGAAATTTTAGACTAGTAAAAATTGGAAAAATGATAGAAATCCCACATTTTAGTTTATTTATTACCATTATCCCCTATAAGTTTTATAAATCTCCAAAATCCCTCATTTTCGCGCATCAGATTAGTGTATCATGTATAAAATGTAATGTATCTTACTTAACGATTAATGTATCTCGTGCATCAGATTAATATATCAGCGCTTATATTATTGTATCCGTTTGAAGGATTTCTGTAATTATAAACTTTTAAGGGATATATTGTAATTTTGCTTTAAAAGTATGTGATTTCTGTAATTTGCCCTTAAAAATTTCAAATATTGTATTAGAAGTTATAAAAAGTAATATTTATTTTAGGTAGACTAAAAATGAAAATCGGAGTAATAAAATTAAGAGAGGGATCTGGCTCCTCTCCGGTGATTCATCCCTCCATTTCCCCGGGTTGGCCCTTAAATATCTTACACTGTTACACATGTCTCCCTTCATAATATAAGGGATCAGATTTTTTTTATTTAACTATAACTTTATTATTGGATTGCATTTTTTTTTCAAATTTATATGATATCGTTGTAATTTTGAGATATAGGGTGTGTTTTCCAATTTTTCTATGTTTGATTGACTTAAATATTTTGGAAAATATTTTTCAAATCAACTCATTTTCCTTAAATTTAAGGAAAATAACTTTTCTTAAAAAATTAAGGAAACATTTTTCAAAACTCTACTTCATTCTTCAATATTTTTTCCTTACCCTACCTCGTACCCGACCCTCCCCATTCAATTTTTTAAATTTCAAATATATTTTTACCCCTACTCCCAAATCAACCCCCCACCCCATCCAGGCCACACCGTCAAAACTTTAAAAAGAAAAAAATATTTTTGAAAAAAAATATTTCAAATTTAAAAAAGTTCATATTTAACGCCACCCTCCACCCCTACCCCCACCCAGGCAACCCCGTCAACTTTTCTTTTTTGGAAATATTTCAAATTTAGAAAAAATTCATTTTTTACGCTACCTCCACCCCTACCTACCCCCCTTTCCACCACCCCCATCCAGGCCACGCCGTCAATTTTTTCTTTTTTTAAAAAAAATTGTTTTTGAAAAATATTTCAAATTTTAATAAAATTCATTTTATCCCCCCCCCCCCCCCCCTTAGGCAGGACACCCCGTCAAACCCTCCTCCCCAGTCAATTTTTTTTTTTTTTAAATATTTTTCAAATTTTAAAAAATTTCATTTTTTTATGCCACCCCCATCTCCATCCTAGGGGTGTCAATGGGACGGTTCGGTTGGTTATTTTTAAAAAATTATACTATCCCAATTTTCAAGTTTTTTTTATAATGTATAACCAAAATACAATTTTTTAAACCATCCCAATCATATCGGTTTATCTTCGGTATTGGTATGGTTCAATTAATTTTCGAGTTTTTTTACTTTTAAAAGTATCGCCTCAAAATTATTAAAATATTTTTTTCGCAAGTGTGCTCTTGAATAAGCACTTCAATTCTTCACCAAGAAGCTAAGAATGTAAAGCCTTGTTTTACCGTATTGTTTGATCCTAAACTTTTAATAGGAGTGTTTGCATAAGTTTTGTCGTATTGTTTGATGACATTTTATTATAGTATCTTCTTTTAAGCCTGATTAATTAAAGACCAATTAAAGGACAAAGGCCCAAAGAGGTCACCAGAGGTCTAAGACCTAGGTTATATTTATATTTGAGAAGTATTAGAAAATATATTTATATAAAATTTAACATATTGTTCATATATAAATATATTTGCATAGATGTACGGTTATTTGGTTCAGTTCGGTAATTTTTTGATCTTCTTTTATAAATTAAAAATACCATCTCATTTGTTCGGTATGGTATTCACTTAAATACAAGTCTACCATTTTATTTAAAAATTGATATAAATTGATTTGATACGGTTCGATTGGTTTAGACAGTTTTTCATATTTTTTTGACACCCTTAACCCACCCCATTCCCCAGTTGCCACCCTCCCCGCCTCGCCACCCCGTCAAAAGTATTTTTTTAAAAAGAACTTGTTTTTGAAAAATATTTTCCTGGGTCAGGTCCTAGGTCAGATCTCAGGGTCGGATTTTGGAATGATCATCGAGGTCTTGTCCTAGTTCGGGTGTCAGGGTCGGATCCTAGATCAATTATCGGGGTTGATTTTAGGATCAGAGATTATTTTCCTAAAGAGTATTTTCTAGTCTCAAGCCAAAAATAAAAGATATTTTTTGGAATAATATTTTTTCATTCACCAACCAAACATTAAAAAATATTTTCTCACCAACCAAACAAGAGAAAATAAGTTAGAAATCCACTTGTTTTAAAAAAAAACATTTTCTAGGAAAACATTTTCCTTCTTACCAAACACACCCTTAAGCTTTTAAATTTTCATTGTGAATTTAAATACAGAAGATACAATTTTTTTGAGATAAAATTTACATATTTTAAAATTACATAAAAATATTAAACTCAAGTGGAAAAACCTATCTAGAAATGCAACTTCAAACTTCTCCTAGTCCACTAGGCCTGCCTCAATCACTATCTCTTCTTTCCACTGTTACCAAATCTGAGCCAAACCTTTCCGCTGGTAAGTGGCTAAGTCTGTATTGTCAACTGGACAGACACCTATATTCTGAGTAATCTTCTAGATGCCCTCTATGAACTCTTGCAGATCCTCCTCTACCTTCAAATCATAAAACTCTAGAGGACTTATCTGAGTGACATCTCAGACTCTAGATGTAGTCGTATTCCCATTTGGGTTGGCCGGGGCCTCAACTTGCCGATTGGATTGAGAGATAGTACCTAGAAAAGCAGCCCTTAACTCGGCATGAGAGACTTGCTTAACCAAATGGTCTTCTAAAGTTGGCGGTGTTGGTTTGGCCTCATTCATGTTCCTCCTGGCGTATGCTCTTCTCGAGGCAGGATTTTGTAAATGTATAGAGCACAAATAAGAAGGAAATTGATCACAATTCACACTCTATCGCACGATAAGAATATGAATGAAGTCAGATGCGTATCCATAAATTTGATTGGTTTAATATTTAGGTTTTTATCACTAAAAATCATTAAATTTTCAAAATTATAGGTCCAAAATATTTTTTTATCTAATTCAAACCACTCAAAGAGGTTTTACTCAATTTTAGAAAGAAAATAAAGCAAACATAAATAAAAGTTTCATATTTCTAACCTCACTTAGAGAGATGCACCCAATCATCATCCCACAACATTATATGATACTTCATGTGTGGGTTCACACATCTATATTTAAATATATTTTTAAAAATATAACACTACTATATATGATTTTAAGAGGAGAGCATGTGTTCACGTGAACCCAGTGGACCCCTCCTGGATAAGCCTCCGAATGAAGTGAAGTATTTCCTAAAACGTCTCATAACCTCCTATTCATAGATGTGACGCGCATTAGAACTATGAATAATACTTTACTTAACACTACTTTCAAACACTCTAGGACTCTAGTCGTAACATGGTGCTTTGAGCCACAAGTGACCCCAAGCTAACCTCATGGTTTGGCATGACCCTCAGAATAGACAAAAATGGAAATTAATGAAGATAACTAAACTACTAATGTGGAAGTTAATACTAAAAGAGTTCATTTATATCGAATAGACAAATATTTGATAAACCATAAGTTGAATCTAAATTGGTTGTCTGAAAGCCTCTACTAAGACGAGTTGCTAGGACAAGACCCTAGCTGACTCTAACTTTCTGAAACTGAAAGTATAATACTGAAGTAAATATAGAGGTCATCATCAAAGAATGAGGACTCACCAAAAGTTATTTTTATGCTAACTGAATATATACTAGCCACAGTCTGAGTGCTGAACGTTCAAGCCTATATTATCAAACAATATAGGTAGAAAGTATGTGATTAGTACATTGAATGTACTGAGTTGGGTATGCATGATAAACATGATAATTGACATGCTGGGCTATAAATTCATACTGATGTAGTGACCAAGTAAATAACATAAAATTCTAGTAAATGTTGTAATGAAATAACTGACTACTTGGTCATGCAATAACTGAAAGACTGAGCTGTGAGAGTACTAAAACCAACATGTAACTATGTGAGCTACTACAAGCAGCTTGATGTATAATCTCCATCTAAAGGGTATATACTTTGCCAAGGTGTAAAGGCTGATTTAAGCTAATGTGGATCAACTAAGTTAATGTCTGTAAAAGACAAAGTAGTCAATCCACAATTAACAGGTGACCCTTATAATCCAATGGTGGCGCATACTTCTAGGATATAGGGATTGCTACTAATGGTCTCATGCCTCAACTAAATGGTGATCCTTCATCCCTAGGTCTGCTCGGTGCTAAGTAAACTCTCAATGAAAACATACAATTAACTAAAGAGAGTAATAATATGATAATAATGACTCATATTGATAAGTGAATGTGACCCTTATAATCCAATGGTGGCACATAGTTCTAGGATATATGGATTGCTACTAACGGTCTCATGCCTCAACTAAAGGGTGAGCCTTCATCCCTAGGTCTGTTTTGTGCTAAGTAAACTCCCACCAAACCCTACCATTATCTTCCTCTGCCTCTCTGAACAACGCCACAACCCTCCATCTCTATCTCTTTCAGACCACTACCAGACGTCGATGCATCTCCCTCACGCCGACGAAGATTTGCCGCACACCCCATCTCCCTCTGTTCTCCGAGCAGTCACCAAATGCCACAGTCACAACCCATTAAATCCCTCTTTCCTTAAGAAAAATTATGAATAATTGGAGATATACCTTATATTGTTCAGAAAATGTTAAAACATCTGAACAACCAACACATCGAACTATAGATCCCATATCAGCACACACATTCAGTACTTCACAAGAACTTCAATAATAGAGACAACCTTTGAATAAATAGTGACCATCCAAGCAAGACAATTTCCCAAACGCCAACACAGCAAGCTCAAAAAAGTCCTATCCGCTAATCGAGCAAGAAATCGAACTGTGACTATGTATAAATATTATTCATGCCTCCAAGAAAACCATATATGCATAACTACTAAAGAATATAAACCATCAATTACAATTTGGACAAAAAAGGCAAGAAACCAGTCTGACTTCCAATTTGGACAAAAACGACTGTATGGGTTGTATTTGCTTTAGTTCTACTATCTTCATATTGTAGTGAGTAAATTTATTTGGTATTTTATCAATTAATAGGAATAAAATGATAAACTCACTGTTAGGGTTTTGCCCTGATTTTCTTACCTTATTTGAAGTTTATATTTTTACTTAAAGAAAAATCAAAGTATTACCATAAATGCTTGAATTTTTCCTCAAAGGAAAATATAATATTTTTCCATATTTGAGTTAATCTTTCCTTGAAAGAAAAGTTTGAAACTCTATAAATTGAAGATCCCTTCTCATATAAAAAACAATAGCATCCACAATGTAGTCATTTAGAGAGTCTTGTTTATGGGGAGATTTTCTCTTAAACATAATTATGTTTTTTTTATTATTAGTTTTCAATATGTAGGTCACTTGATCAAACCATATTAATAATATATCTTTAGTATGTTTTTATTTGTCGTCTGATTTGTAAATCATATAGTTTGCAAATTATAAGCTTTCGCATGACACCCTAATCACCTTCAGAACCCAACACTCATTATACCAATCATTGTTTTTTTAATAGGCGTGTCAAGTCAAAATTTAATAAGTAAAAAGTGACGGAGGAAGTAATACTTTAGAGAAACTACGTCAAATTCCTTTTGAACTCGGCAACAAAACTTACCTTAACATTTTAACTTTATAGACATTTATTTACCCCTAATCTAGTACGAAGTGAATTTATAAATACAATCCAAATAGCTCACATGTCCAATAAAAAATTAGGCGCCTAATATAGCTATAATTTTTTTATATATATAAAAAAGTGGGCCTTTTTTTTCAAACAATATTAAATACACACATAAAAGTCATAGAAAAGTTCAACACCCACATAATTTTCTTTATTCTATACTTTCAAAAATTGATTTTTTGTTGAAAGTTTTAAATTTCATAAAAAGTAGAATTGATTTTTTTTAACGTTTTAAATTTCATGAAAAATAAAGATTTTCAATGAAGGAAAATGAAATTCTATAGAAAAATTTTAATTTTAAGAACTGATGATAACAATGGCGCTGCAAGTGAAGGGTAGAGAAAGAAATTTGTTTTTGTGAAATCATTGCAAATAATTTTTGTTCTTTCTTGAATAAATTAGGAACTGGAAATTGAGTACTAATACTGATGGCCAATAATGACAGTTCAAGTAATCGTGAGTAATGAAAGAGATTTTTTTTCAAATTTCATTGCAAATGACCAAATTTTTTTTCATAAATTAATTCGCGTTTAAAAATATAATGAAAGAAGAAATTGTAAATAAACAAAAAACATATTTAAAAAAATGAATAAAAATAAAAATAATTTTCTATGTGGATTTGAAATGGCAGTGACATGATGCTGATGTTGTAATGACATGATGCGTGTGTAATACACTTTCCATTGTGAGATTGATACTATATTTTTAGGGTGATATTTAATTCACTTCATACTAGATTGGGGGGAGGGGGGATAAATGTCCGTATAACGTAGATCTATTGCTAATATTAGTGTAGATCTAGAACATGAATTACATTTTTGTTGATCGACCTATATGGATCGATTGAGTGGGAGTCTGCTAGGTCGAGTAGATGCCAATTATACCAAATTAATATTTCTTCGTTCTTGTTTAATTTGACACATCTTTAAGAAATAATAAATAAAATAAATAATTTTATTTGATTATTTTTAGTTAGTATAGTTAATTTCACTCATTCAGAAATAAATTAAAATTAATTAATAATACTTAATAATAAAAATAAATATAATTTTTAATATTGTGAATAAATTATATACTACTTTACTAATTTCTTCTTGATAGGTACTTGTGTGTTTGCTAACGACTAATATCTAGGTGAAACGTGTCACAATAAAATTTCAAGTGAACAAATTGCACACTCTTCCTTAATTCTTTTTTTTTTTAGTCCTTTTATCCATTAAATTTTCATAAAAAGAAGCAAAATATAGAAAAAGAAAGTAAAATCCATTCCACTCGGCTATTTGCACGGCGCATGTGACTTCAGTATTTTCTCTCTCTAACACTCTCTCTCTCCGACACAGACGCCGGGCGATCTGGCCGGTGAGTACTTATCACGCTTCGTTTTCATCGCCGTTCACTGTAACTTCCAGAAAATCGAAATTTTTTCATTTTTGTGAAAACTGAAAGTGTAATTTGAATGTCTGTATTTCCTTTGCGTGTTAGTATTTGGTAAGTGTTCTGATTTAGATGTATGTTAATGCCGCAAAAGATCATACTATTAATAAATAATTGATCGTGTTCTTAGTGGAAAGTATGATGTTTTTAAAATTTTTTTTGCACTGATTGATGGAATGTAGTCATCTATATGACGATTGCCAACAATTGATGATATACGAAGTAGCAGTAGAATGAAGGATTCGGTATCACGCACTCTTTTGTAGTAGCAGTAACTTTATTGATAATGTATATGTCTACTGAACGAGGTAACTTTATTGATTAGGTGAAATCACATATAGTAATTATCTGTGTATAGCAGAGCTACACTTAACTGCTAATGTATATATGTGTTTCTACTTGATATGGTAAATGATCGGCTCTGTGTGTTACTATTGTAGTCAGAGGCGATATTAGGATTTCTAAAACATGAGTGCACCACTAAAAGAGAAAGAAGGAAAAAATGTAATTAGTGGGAATTGATTCCTAGTCCTATAGGTAAGGAACTCAACTTTCAACCAAGTGCACTATTTAATGTTCTGGTAGCATGGGTGCCAGCTGATAATACTATACTAATTTTAGAAATATACATAAAGACCACGGTTCATGTGCCCCGTATTTTTGCCTATAAATTCACCTGTGACTGTAGTGCGTTAACTTTATTGATAAGGTGAACTGATATGTGGTAATCATCTGTATAGAACGGAATTAAGTTCCAGATGCAGCAATGATATGAAATTATTACCTGTAATGTCCCCTCGGAGATATAGGGAAATATATCTACTACCTAACAAAAATCTACATGATCTTGCCTGCGATATATGTCATTTTGTAATTTGAACATTGAGATTGCCACAGTTGAAAGTCTGTAGTCTTTCTAAACTCAAAAGTACAAAATAATTTTTGTCAAAAAGGAAAATAGGGAAACAATTTTTTCTGCTATTTTGAATGAAGAGAGGTAACAGAGCACATGCTTTACTACTAATTGACATCCTGATTGGGATATACCATTAAAATCATTGTAAAACTACGTAAAACCTTTTAACAGTATAACACTATGATTTCTGTGTTGCTGTGATATTCGTAAATATTTAGCTAATATGCAGCAAAAGCTTAATACCACGTGTCTCCAGCAGGATGCAGCTCCAGACAAATGCTGATACTACTGATCTGAGTTATTGGTTGAACTGGAGATTCTTGCTTTGTGCAATATGGGTCTTGACACCGACGGTTATAGCTGTGATCATTCTATGGAAGTATGAACGATCAGTTAATGTCATTCCAGAATCTGATAGAAGGGAGGATTGTCAGAAACGGTCATGGCTTTTGTATTTTGACAAAGCTTGGAAACCATGTGTGAAAATAATAAACCCAATTTATTTGGCGGTTTTCCGAGTTTTTGCACTTGCTTTACTCACACTGGTGATTGTCTCTGATTTTATTATTCATGGAGGTGACATATTTTACTATTATACGCAGTAAGTATTCCAGACAACGCTTGTAAGTAGGTAGCATAGGTTCAATTTTCAGGACCGTGTATGATAGTGTTCTTTTTTATATAATATAAGTAAGGTTGAGAGTGTTTGTTTTTGTTTGAAGGTATTCTATTATGACTTGCAATTTTTGCATCTTATATGTACAGAATGTATAAGCTTTATTGCTTTAACTAGGGAAAGAAATAGAATGTGCTATAAAATGGAGTGCCTCTCACGATGTTCTGATTTCTGCAGGTGGACATTTGCTTTGACCGCCATCTATTTCTGGGTATGTATGTTAGTTACGGTTTGCTTCCTTGAATTTATATCATTTACTTACTGTATTAGTACATACTTGATGTTTTTGACCTCTTAAATATATGTGCATGTAATTGCATGCTACAAAGACATCCTTCACTTTGGCTTGCATGATGCTGCTAATGAAATATATTCTCCCTAACATCATGCTTCTGTAACTATCTGTAGATTGGATCAGGACTTTCCATCTATGGTTGTTACCGGTATAACAAAACAAACAGCGATGTCAGCAAAATGCAGATGGATGTGGAGCAAGGATTACTCCAGTCCCTTACATGCACAGATTATATGAATGGCGTCAAGTTAGTGAACCATGTGGGTTACAAGAGAATGCTTCTTGTTCCTGAAATTGCTGGACGATGTGGCTACCTCTTCCAGATTCTTTTCCAGGTACGACATTCTTCTTAGGGGACCCAAACCAGGTTTCTGATAGGTAGAACATAGAAACTGCTGTAGTTTTATTCTACCTAAGAACATCCTCCCACTGGTTAATGCTTGTGAAATATTATCAGTCCACCTCTAGTCATTAACATATATAGTTTTCCTAAAGAGAATCTCTGCACTTACTGTTACAAAGTACTTTTTTGTTAGAAGTTAAGTTCCTGGAAGTTTCATGTAGATTGTGTAGTTCTAAACATTTCTTTGCCCGTTTTTTCCCTACAGATGGCTGCTGGAGCGGTGATGCTCACTGACTCTGTTTACTGGTTTGTGATCTTCCCATTTCTTACACTCAAAAACTACGATTTTAACAGTGTAAGTATCTAATATTCCTAAGGATCTGTCTGGTTCCGCTTTTTTTTCTCTTGGGTGCTTAATATCAGCTGCTAAGATTCCAAAACTTGATTTGAGATATTTGGCTTTATTTTAGACACAGCCATGAGTTTGCAGTAACAGCCTCCTATATGTCAAACTTTTGCTTAAAGAATCACTCGTACGATTTTCGTTCACGAACCACCTTTTTCTTTCTAATATGGCCACTTATGCCAGTGCATCCAATTATTCAGGTGATGACTTTCTGGTCATGAATGTTTTAGAACTTGTTTGGATGACTGAATTGGTCTTTATGATACAATCCTTTCTAAATTTCCAAGAGAAAAGATGAAGCAATTCAATATGCAAAACTGCTCCTTTCTCTCTAGCCCTCTTTCTTTTTCATGTTGTTGGGTCAGAAGGAGACGCCTTGGTTTCTTATCCAGTCTTCTCTGGTCTACTATTTCTAGAGCACACAGAGCTAAATGGTTATCTTTTCTCTGATTTTCTCTGTCCGGTCTTGTATACTAAATCTTATTCACTCCTTTAAATGGATTAAGAGCTGAGAAACTCAAAGAATAATGATTTGGTTATTCATCATGTACATTATTTTCCATTATTTTCTGGGATTGTCTTCACGGAGCTTGTTGATAAATATATTATCCAGGCATACAAGGATACCTGACTGCCTTTTAATCTACTTGACGCAAATTCCTCTATGCCATTGGTGTCATTGGGATCCCCATCTCACTAGATTCTTAAACACATTCCTTCTGTCTAGTATAATTGGTGGAATTAAGGTTTAGGACGGTGTATCTTCAAACCTCGTCGAGTTATAAGTGATGAGCTCCTTCTTCTCCATCTTCCCCCATATTGTTATAGGTACCTTAGGTCTTTTATTTGAAAAGAGGCTGAAACTAAGTTAATTACTTGCATATTATATCAATTATGACAGTGTCAACATATTGGATTACTGGTAGTAGTAGTCAAAAAAATAGTTTGATAGGAAAACCATTACTTGTTGGTTTGAATTTGAGCTATTTTCAATTTAAATCCTTGAAAATCATTGAAGTTGTATTAACAAATTCAGAAAAGTATGTCAAAGATTTGGTTTCTTCCCAAATATGAAATGAGTAGTGAGTACAAAGATATCATTCTAATTCTGTTTGTCTCTCTCGGATCTTTTGCTCCTTCATGAAGTTAAACAATATTTCTCTTTCATTCCAGTTCACTGTTGTTACGCATTCGCTAAACGCTGTCCTGCTCCTTGGTGATGCAGCTCTAAATTCCTTGGTAAATGCTAGTGTTATTTTACTTCTCCAGGTTCTTGTGAAAATATCATTTAGGATATTGTTTATTAAACTTTCAAGTTGTTCTTCCAGTGGTTCCCGTGGTTCCGGATGTGTTACTTTGTCATATGGACTGGTGTTTATGTCATCTTTCAGTGGATTGTTCATGCCTGTGAATCAATTTGGTAAAGATTCATCTCTGTTTGTTTATGATTTAATGAATACATCTCATTCCTCTAACTGTGGGTTTCCCCTTTATTTTTTGTTTATTTCAGGTGGCCGTACCCCTTTCTTGACTTATCATTAAAATATGCTCCTGTGTGGTATGTGTTCATTTAGAATATATTATTTATCATGGTACATGTATGTGATCAAATTACATTGTAACATTTGGTTTCTAGGCTTTATAATAGCCACGTTCATGGCTTCTCGTTTCTAAATATCGTATTGAACACTTCTCATTTCCTTTGAAAATTGAAGTGCCAAACTTTATGTTTCTTGTTCTTGCTAGTCTGTAATATCTGTCATACAGGCAAACTTATTTCTTGGTTAACTAATTTTTCTGTTGATTCTGGGCCAGGTATTTATTGGTGGCTTTTTTGCATATTCCATGCTACGGGATATTTGCATTACTTGTTAGACTTAAACAGTATGTGTTATGGCGATGGTTCCCTCAATCATAACAATGTCTAAGAAATTATCATCTCAACTTGGTCAATTTGGAAGCCAAGGTGTCTCAGGTTCGTCAAATGGTGTTGTTTGGGAGTGATGGGCGGATTTTCTGCAGAACGTCAGCTAAGTGGGTATTGATTCAGTCAAGAATTAAATCAGTAGTTATCTTGTGAAGTACGAAGGAAATATTCCTTTATCTGCAGCTTCTCCACCCTCATGCCTTGGATGATCAGCAGTACCGTAATATATTTTCCAAACAGTACCAAGTTCAACTGATTTCGAAATTGTATACCTTTCTGTCACAGGCAAAAGCTTACTAACTCATTGTCTAAGAATTTTTAATGGATTTGTATACAAAGGATGAAGCATCATTTTTTGCTTTTCAAACAGATGCCTACATTACTTACTGCATGATAAAATTACCATAAATCACCAATTATCTCCCCAGTCTATTCAGCTAGGACTTGGACATGGAAACTTGGCCTGTCCCATTTGACTGGATTAGGCCACCTACACCTAGTTACTATGATTAGTTTGCTCAAGTTTTGGTTGACCAGTGTATTAAAAGGTGCGGGCGTGAGGCGATACGTTTTATGCAGTACGGGGTGAGAGGTAAGCCCTGAGACATGGGACGTAAGTCTTATGAATTTACAGAGTGTATTCTCATTTATATTCAATTTTATAATTTTATTACTAAGAAAATAAGCAAAAGTAAAACTTTCAATTATTTTACAAATAAATTTTAATAAATAACCTAAAATATGTAGAACAAAATATTACGATTTTTATTTGAGAAAGGTATTAATAACCAAAAAACGTAAAAAAAAAACTTACTCCCACCGTTTCAGTTAATATAATTTTGTGTGACTTTACACAATTTTAAAAATAATAATTAAAATTTTGTAGTTCAAAACAAATTTTAGATATTTATATTATGATAATAAATTATTTTTTTACGATAAAATAAAAAATTTAAAATTAAATTATTTTTATTATGAATATAACATTCTTTTAACAAACTAAAATAGAAATAATAATATTTGAAATGGGACGGAGGAAGTATTAACCAATATATACAATTTATTTATCGCCACTCATCACTATTTATGCAATTGATTAAGCTTTATTATAATAGTTTACAATAGATGAATAATCAATTTGTTCTAAAATTTGGAGTCTCAAAATGGTGGTCAATTGTCATATTTGGTTGCATAAATTTTCATTCACAAGAGGTGGTATATATTTTTTTGTTCTATAAAATGGGCAGGAAGAATGCGCTAATTGTCCTTGTTTTTTTTTTTTGGAAAATTTTCAAAACAATAATATTTTAGCTTTTAATGGGACTCCTTAGTAATAGTTTCACTATTTATTTAAAATGTCAATATTTTAGTTTGTTAAGGGCTGAGTTATGTATACAAATAATTAATAACAGAATAGAGAAAATAATGGAACAGAAAATTTCAACAAAGGTAAAAAAAAAATTAAAATTTAACATCAATTACGTTTTTGAAAGAGCATATGTTGCCATTTTTCTTTCTAGCGTTTTTTTCCTTTGTTCTTAAGAATTTCAATTATTTTTTTTGAAAATAGTAGTTTGTATTTTATATCTTATATGAGTGGAAGTGTTGGAAAATTTCTAATGCCCTCTGTTTTGGATATTTAAATGTTTGAACTTCTTTGAATATTATGTGTTCATCCGAAATGTATTCGAATACCTAATGATATGTATAACTAATTTAAAATACAAAAAATGTTGGTATTGATTTATGATGAATACAACTCTTTGGCATTCTAGTTCAAGTACAAAAATAAAGGCAGTTGTGAAGTATATACCAAAATATAAATACAAATTAGTTGTAAATCAAAATGATAATGAAAAATACAGTTGCGATGAATACATAATACATAGAATAAGTTGTATTCAAAATAAATTGTATTTATATTTCAATATCCAGTTTTGTTATATTATTATTTCACTTTAAATTTGCAGAAAGTATTTTCTGGCTCAATTTTTATTTCAAATATGAGGTTGTATTTCAATATCATTTTGTATATCAAACGCAAAATGAATACCAATAATTTTGTATTCCCCTTCTTGTGATATATTCGTCACAATTTTATATATTATGTACTCATAAAAATCATATTGCTTTAGTCAAATAAAATACAAAATATTTCTTACTAAGTTTGTATTTCAAATATCAGGTTGTATTTCAGTATGATTTTGTATTTCAAACGAAAAAATGAATACCAATAAATTTCTGATTGATTCTGTCATTGTAGACAATCAGATGCTTTCCCCAAATTCTAAAACCCTAAAAGAAAATTTTGATATTATCAAAATATATGTATTAAATATCAAACAAAATAAACATATAAATGAATTTCTAGATTCTACAAAATCTGAAAAATTAAAAGAAAATCACAAAAAAAAAATTAAAAATCTAAAATACATAAATATTTGATGAATATCTAAACAAAATCACATAAAAATAAAAAAATTGATTGGAAATCTGTAATATATAGAATCCGGAATATACACCATAATTGGTAATTTTAAACAGCAAATAAAAATAAATCTAACTAAATAATGGAAATTACCTTGCCAATTGAGAAATCTCTTGAATTAATAAAGAGATTTCGTTTAACAATCGAGAAAATTTCTTGAATTAAAATATATATTTTGATGAACAATTTGTGAGCACCTTGAAGAAAGAGAATCTGGAAACGTGAAAGGTGGGGATACAAATGTGAAAGGTGAAGAAGGAAGGTTAATGGGTATTGGTTTAATTTTTTTTTTCGTTTTAAACGGTTATTGGTTTAGAATTTGGTCCAATATAGGACTGTATTCATAAATAAAATTAAATTTTAAATAATAAAATCTGAATACATATTATTTTCTAAAAATATTGCCATTCTGACATTTTAAATAAATATATTAAAGTGTTGTTGTTTTGACTAATTATGTTAGGTATTATGACTTAATTGCTAATTTTTTTTGTATAAAATGGACAAAGAATGCATTAATTGTCCTTTAAGATGGATTAGTTGATTTGAATAATGGTCATCCATATAGATGATCTGAGATCGATATCTCACAATTTTTTTCTTTTTTTAGCTTAAGTCATCTATGACCCCTTAACATTGTTTGGATATTTTACTTAGACACCATATTTTTATCAAAGTGTTTTGATTGTTGTGAGTGTGTAGTGTGAGTTTTAAATTGATATATATATATATATATATATATATTTATGTGAATGTAAGGTTGTTCATCAATAAAAAAAATCAGTTATGAAACTGATAAAGAAATCCGAAGTAACTTCATTTTTTCTGACAATGTTGATAGAAACTTATGAATTTTCTGACGTAATTCATGTTTCTCGTACCAAAAATGGAACAAAGAAGTAAGTTACAATTTTTTTAATTACCTATTTGGCGTATCGACAAGAAATTTAAGTTAAAGTTTTTTTTTTTTTAGAAAAAAAAAAAACTTAAAAATGGTTCCTTTTTGCTTACTTTTTTTTTTAAAATTTTTTTTAAAGTGTGGGGCAAGCCCATTTATTCAAAATAAGAACGAAAAAATCTTATGGCTTTGGTCCAATAGTGACCCAAGCCCAAATACATAATACCACATCTTGTATTGACAAAGTATATTGGAAATGGAAAGTCTTCTCCTTCACTGCTAGTACCAGCTGATCTGCTTTCTCTCCGACCGGCGTCAGGCATCTCCAATGGTTTTTCTTTGATGAAAGGGCGATAAAAAAAGTCATGAGCTTGGGCGGTATCCACCCGGGCATTCAAAAATTCTCACGAATGCCATGAATCCAACCCTATGAAGACTTCTTCAGCTCATATCCTTCTTTCGACATATCCAATCAAGGTAATCTCCAAAACTGAAGCACACCTTTGGCTCGATCAATTTTGAGAGATGTAATTGATAAACCCCCAATTTGTGCAGGTTGAGCTCCGAAGAGTTGATACCACTGCCTCAAATTTTGGGTATACCAGGTAACCTCTCCATTTTGATCTTTAAAACGAATATTCGACTTACATTTTTCCGTAGCTATGAGTTGCAGCAATTATATTCAAGCATGTTTTGTATGAACTAGTCATTTGTTCTCATACACTCTTCTATGCTTCATTGATTGTTGAAGTTTCCGTTTTGACATTTTCTGATTCTGATATTAGGAATACCCTGCTTATCTATATGTAACAATTTTCCTGCTTGTGCTGGTAGTTCTGTGTTAGATAAGAGTTGGATCCTTGTTGTTCCTGCAAAACTAAAAACATGGTTAGTTAAACAATCGGTTACACAGTTCCCCTCTCTAAAGATATGAATCACCACCATATCCTTATCCTTCAACATCTTCTTAATGCATCTTATGTCCACTGATATGCTCCATGGTATTTCCCATATTTCATCAATGATTTTCTTCAGAATAAGAGAGTTTGTCTCCATTATTAGAGGCATGAGGTTATTATTAACACAATACTGCAATCCTTCTTTGAAGGCTTCCACCTCTGCTTCTAAAATATTGCATAACTCCACACTTTCTGTCTCTGCATAGACCAATTCTCCATTGCTATTTCTCACACTAAATGCCTTTGAACTGAGGTATAGTTGATCTCTACAAGATCCATCAATATTGTATTTAAAATGATCTTCAGGAGGACAAATCCATTTCACCACTTTACAAGATAGGATAGAAATGTAATCTTCCAAGAATTTGACAATTAGGGGCCACTGAGTAGGCATGTTGGATAGCCAAGGATATCTAGTTGTGGCCATTAGGTAGATATTCCTGTTGACCTCTCTTACCATTGCCTGTCTAGACATATTTCCTCCATGCTTGATTCTATTCCCTATTTTCCAATTCTGCCATATAATGAATATATGAACTGATCTAAACAATGGTTTTAGCTTGGGGTTTCATTCTCCCCCCACCATTGATAGATAGCCTGCTTCATTTGAATGAAAGGTCCTTGAATTCCAGTAGCTCTTGAAAATGTTTCCCATAAATACTTTGCATCTGGATAGGACACAAATAGGTGATCAAATATTTTCGGTGTAGAGTTATTACAACATACACAATTAAATGTGTCTGTTATGTTAAACCTAACCAGAATCTCACCAATGGGGATTCTCTGAAACCACATTCTCCAAAGTAAGAAAGAAACTCTGAAAGGAATGCCCTTTTCCCAAATAAGTATGATGTCTTGCTAAATTTCCTTCCTCTGTCTCATTACATCCCAAGCACTTTTCACTGTAACCTAAATAATAGTTGTCATTATGTAATTCGTCAAATTGTCATGTCATTGCGAGTGTATTTCACACACTTTATATATACTTTTAGCTTATTGTTAAAAATATGTTCAAATGATTC